CCAGTACCCCCTATAAGGGACACTGCCCCTTGACCTTACCTATTAACAGGCTAGTGGGACCGTCATGGCTAACTATGCATAACACAACCTCATTCACAATTTATAACCTTTCATTATATATGAATTGTTTATTTGTTGTGTTTTTTTCTTTCCTTGAAGTTGTTTGGGTATAGTGACACATATAGCTCTAGTTTTACAAGGGTTGTAAATTTTAAATATAGCTTGTGTGTCATGCTTCTCTTTATAAACTTTGAATGTACATTCTCTTCTCATCCCAATCTGCTCATATGTATCAATGAGGTTTCTTGATGTAATTCATTTTCTTAGAGAGGTACTCTCATTGACTTGGGAAGGACATAGGTTAGGTAAGCCATATTGTGTCATGTTTAATTATGCTTTTAATTATATCATAATATGCTTTGTATGAGATACAATTGCTTTAACTTTACATGATTATTAAATTAATAAATCAAACCTCTAATTAAAATCTTAAGTCATAATGCCGTCAATTAATGCATACTTGTTAAAATCTAGATCATTCAAATGTAAGATCCACTAAAGTAGATACATTTGGGTTATCTTGGTGAGACAAGCGTGAGTAATGGTGCTACTCATAAAGATTCATTATTGTCTGACTTAATTGAGATTATCAAAATGACTTTGGATCTCAAGGCATTAGATGGGACTGAACATGAGGGATCATATGATGATTGAATCTCATAAAGATCAAAGAGTTACATGTGATGTAATTGGTAAATGAGTTGCCTACCTAAATAGTTTAATTTTAAGCGTCCTGCTAAAGCAGACTTAAATTTAAGTAAAATATGGGTCTTTAGCTCGCTAATCAAATTTAAAGGTTGTTAGTTTTAGTAGGAGGTATAAAATTAACTTTGTTTATTTTATTGTAGAATCATGTCGACTAGTAAAACTGCCACACTATCATTGTGATTAGTCCTTGAGAAGGACAAACTCAATGGGACGAACTTTCTTGACTGGTTCAGGAACTTGAGAATTATTCTCAAGTAGAAAAGAAAGGCTTATGTCCTGGATGAATCCATTCTCGAGGAGCCTACGACTAATGCTCTAAGAACTCAAAGGGATGCTTACACAAAGCATACCAATGACTCGGTAGATGTAGGATGCCTAATGCTAGCTACTATAGTTCCAGAACTTCAAAGACATTTAAAACACATGGAGGCTTATGAGATGATTGTACATCTTAAGGAAATATTCCAGCAACAAGTAAGGCAAGAGAGGTGTGAGACCACAAAGGCCTTATACTCCTGCAAGATGGTTGAGGGTGCATAAGTTAGCACTCATGTTTTAAAGATGAAGAGCTATATTGATCATCTTGAGAAGCTCGAGTTTCCCCTAAGCTAGGAGTTAGCTATAAATTTGATCTTGAACTCACTCCTGAAAAGTTATAACCAGATTGTTATGAACTATAACATGATTGACATGGAAAAATCCATTTTAAAACTGCATGGGATGCTTAAAACTGCTGAGCAAGACATTAAGAACAAGTTTAACACTATTTTGATGGTTTAAAAAGGAAAGGGTATGAAAAAGAAAGGCAAGGGCAAGGGTAAGGGTAAGGAAAAGGGTGAAGGCTCAAATGGCAAGACCAAAGAGTCAAACAAGCTCGAAACCAAGCCTCCAGCCAATAAGGCAAAGCCTCCAAAGGAATTGCTTCTTTTGCAATGAACTGGGTCATTGGAAGAGGAACTGCAAGCTCTACCTGTTAGATAGGAAGGCATAGCAAAAGATTAAAATTTTAAAGTCCCTATCTTGATATGGACTGAACGAACTCGTTTAAGTCAAGGTGGATAAAAGAGTTACCTTTTAATTCTTTAAAGTTGGCACACGTTTGGATCTCAGGAGCTAACAACGTAGATCTTCTCCCTCTACCGGTATCTACACGAACAACTCTCTAACTCGAACAGCGTGCTAGCACTCTCAGCGTCCGTTCTTTTTTTAATGTTAATTTTCCTTTCTATAAGGTATTTCCTGGCTCTCAGAGTATTTTTGTCGTTAGAACTTTTCTAACTCTCTCTTCCTTTATAAGGACGAAAGCTCACAAAAATTTAATTAGATAAGGGTTTTCATCTTCCACTTAAAAGCTCACGAAAATTTAATTAAAGTTATCTCATAAATTTAATCTATAATATCATATCTAATTTGAATTTATCTTATAAATTTAAATTATAAAACTGATATGATATTCTCTCTTATCATGTTATTTATTAAATTTAATCTATCATATAAAATTAAATTTAAAACTAACATAATATAATATAAGATAATATAATATGATATAATAAAACATATATCACATATACATATTATATTATATATATATATATATGAATATATATATATACACACATATATTTCAAATGTATATATATTATATTATTTATCTATATTTAATTTTATATATCATGTACATATATCATATATATCTGATATATATATATATATAAATATTTATTAAATATTCAATATATATATATATATAATTCATTCACCTTATATTACATTCGTTGAATCTAGACATATTCTAGATTTAACAAACTTGGACATTATAGCTCAAGTTGGGCTGTTCTTGTGTGTGACCCTGTAGGCCCATATGAAATTGGCAGTAGGCTAATTACGTTATTAGCTCACAAGTTACAAGTGGCCTCTAGCAAGACATTGCAACTACCTAATTCACATGGGGATTGATGATCCAATGTAACTTATCATGCAACCATATCACATCCCTTTTGTCACGCAATATTTCGGTCAAGTATAAGACATAGAGCTGTCATTCTCCTTTACCTGACCGTTACTTTCTTGATCTTTGAGTAGATTGATAGTAATCATGGAAAAACTCTGTCCATTGTAATATAGCCATATATTTTCTCAGTCTTACTCATCGAGGGGCCCAGTAATATCTCTCACTTAATGTGAGGGACAAATTCCATCTTAACTACTCATATTCCTCTGCATAAATATCACTAAACTCAATCATAGCCTTTATGATCACCCGGTCAAAGATAACTTTTGACTAAATTAAAGTTTAGTGGTCATCATGTAGGAATCCATGATGATCTCAGGTCAAAGAGCTTAGTGATATAGTTACATATAAGATAAGCTTATGACTTGTATCATGCAGCTTTCTCATAGCAGATTGATCCAGTACCTTGTACTCTTTCAAGTGCTTATGACTTTAATTTGTATCTCTATAATTAATCAAAGTCATACTAGTCTTGTCTCATCTATGATCCCTCAAAGATGACCAACTAGGGACATTTAGGACAATCACTATAGTTTGTCCAGGAATACAGTTATCATATTAAACATGCAATTGTTATGATAATAAAAGAGAAATTCATTAAATAGTAATGTACATAGTACAATGATTGGCCCAAGGTCACAATTTCCAACACTACCTAGAAGATCTGGAAAGAAAGGAGGATAGTGGGGCTATTGCTTCAGGTATTTATGTTATAGACATTCACCTTTCAACTTCTTCTGCATGGGTATTAGATATTACATGTAGTTCTCACATTTGTACAAATGTGCAGGGTCTCAGAGATAGTAGAAAGTTGACAAAGGGCGAAGTAGACCAACGAGTTGGAAATAGAGTAAGAGTTGCTGCTTTAACCATAGGCACTTATGAATTACTTTTGCCCAGTGGGCTTCTATTAGTTTTGAACAATCGCTATAATGTTCCTGCTTTGAGTACTAACATTGTTTCTCTTTCTTATTTGGATATGGAAGGTTTTACTTCCATTATTGGGAATGGTAAATGTTCTATTTATCAAAATGACATTTTTTATGCTAATGGTGATTTTCATTTTAGTCATTATCTTTTAAATCTGAAACATCCTAGTAGTGAAGACATCTATAATATAACTACCAAAAGGATCAAATCAAACAATTTAAATCCAATCTACCTATGGCATTGTTGTCTCGGACATATAAATGAGAAACGCATTTCTAAGCTCTATCATGATGGACTTCTCAACTCGTTTGATTTTGAATCTTATGACAGTTGTGAATCTTATTTATTAGGAAAGAGGACAAAAGCACCTTTTACTGGGCATAATGAGAGGTCTAATGAATTATTGGGACTCATACATATAGATCTATGTAGACCAATGAGTACAACTGCTAGAGGGGGTTATCTGTACTTCATTACCTTTATTGATGACTACAATAGATATGGATACATCTACCTAATAAAACACAAATATGAATCTTTTAAAATTTTGAAAATATTCTAAAATGAAGTACAAAACCAACTTGATAAGACTATTAAAACTCATTGATATGATCGATGAGGTAAATATTTGAGCCAAGAATTCACTGATCATCTCAAGAGTTGTGGGATAGTCTCACAATTAACTCCTCCAGCAACAGCACAATGGAATGGTGTTTCTAAGCAGAGAAATTGAACATTATTAGATATGGTTTGATCCATGATGAGTCAAGTAAATCTTCTACCATCCTTTTGGGCCATGCACTAGAAACAACTGCGTTCACATAGAACCATGTTCCATCTAAAGTAATTGAAAAGATACCATATGAGATAAGGATTGGATAGAAACCTAGTTTGTCTTTTTTTGAATATTTGGGAAAGTGAGGTTTATGTTAAGAAACAAGCCTCAAACAAATTAGCACCCAAATCCACAAAGTTCCTTTTTGTGGGGTATCCTAAAGAAACAAAGGGATACTATGTCTATAATCCCACCGATAACAAAATGTTTGTAATTCGAAATGGTATCTTTCTAGAAAGAGAATTTATCTCTAAAAGAACCAGTAGGAGTAAGATACATCTTGAAAAAATTCAAAAATTACAAAATAGCATAGAGTCACAGATGAAAAATTAAGAAAACTCACAAGAAGTAAATGAGCCTACTCAAATAACATAAGGCCATAAAGGTCTGATAGGACATAGCATCATCCTCAAAGACATGGATTTCTGATTAATAAATGCCATGATATGTGTCACATCCTAAAATTTTTACATTGAATAACATAAGATATATATATATATATATACAAATTCACATCCCTAAAGTTTAATTAAGAAAAGTTCTGAATTAAAGTATCCAGATTTTTTTTTTTTACCTGAAGTCAAAATATCATTTTTTTTTTCAAAATTTCTGCAAACCCTCCCTTAAGGGCAGGATCCTCCAAAATCTCTTCAACAGAAAATCTACAACATATATCCAATAATATAAAGCTTTGCTACTCAACAGCAAACAATTAACATAACAAAAAGAGGCAGGACCCTAACTATAGTTAATGTGGAGCACTCTAAATCGAACTTTCAAAAGATACTATATGGGCTTTCGAATTTTACTTGAATGAGATGATATCTCAAAAGTAATCTTCTAGTCAATTCAACAATGAGCCCATCAGAGATCAGCAGGGAGTACGAAATCAGCTTGGATATCTGAGACCAAATAAAATATTTTTCCAGTGAATAACGTCCCAACAATAAATAATTGAACATAAATAAAATGAAAAGTTTGAAATAGTTATGTAACTTAAATAGACAAAATTTGCGTAAAAATTTTATAACTTCATAATAAAATGGCTTTATAAATTTCAAATAAAATCTCAAATCATTAAACTATCATATAAAATGGTAGTATCACTTAATTTTTAGAAAGCACATAAATGAAATAAATATTTATAAACAAATTGCTAAATAAAAACCAATAGAATATGAAATCTTCAAACGATTAGATTCATAAATATAGGGACTTATCAGAACAATTAACAAACGTGGACACACAGTCCACGAAGGTAAATAACCGAACGCGGCTTATGCCACGAATACAAACGTGGACACACAATCCACGAAGGTAAGTAACCAAACACAGCCAAAGCCACGAAACAAACGTGGACACACAGTCCACGAGGGTATTGCTAACCAAACGCGGCTTGAAGCCACGAAACAAACGTGAGTACTATGCTCACGAATAACCATCCCTCCGTTCCACGCGCGTTGGCCATCGCACGGGGCTAGCACCTCCTATGAACACCCTGCTAGCTGGGTGTACCATGGCGCGCCAAGGACTAACGGAACTGCCGTTAGCAACCAGTGTTCTATATAAAGTCCCTTTTGAAAACCATTTTTCAATCATGCGAGAAAATCATCACTTTCAAGATACAGTTCTCATTCTCAAAATCAAACTCGCATGAATACTTTTAAGCATTAAAACTTACCAGAATCAAATTTCATATCCAATGCTCATGCTTGCATTTATAAAAAGAACTTTCAACTTCGAACTCGCATGAACCATTTTTCCGTATCAATTCAATAATTTTCAAATTGAAATCCCACAATTAAAATTCAAACTTGTATTTACTGATTAAGTAAAATGATCAATTTTGGTAAAATAATTTCACAAAATAAAATAATTTAATCAACAAAATGTCTCATAATCACATTGTTGTCGTAAAAATAACTTGCATAAAAATGTAATATTCAAATAAAAGAGATTTCGATAAAATATCAGTTGGGACGCTATCCACTTACCTGGTGTGCTCCCACGTAATGCTACTTATTTCAAATGGCCTCTTTCGTGAAACTTTCATTCTAAGATTCCCTAATACCCACAGCAACACTATTAACATTTTTACTCCACCTCTTTTGTAAAAATGTACAAATATTATATAATACATATATTTTATTTTATTACAAAACTCTACAATCACCATCATTTATGAAGTAGAAAGGGATTCCTTAACATTAATCTGTTTGCATATTCGCAAAAGTTACCAAGAAAGGAGAATCTTAGTTCACTTCCTTCACCTAGTACAATTACAACGAAGACAAATTCTACTATTATTATTATTATTATTATTAATCAATCTTGCTTAGAAAGAACACATGAGTTTCAATGCAAGAACATAGATCATATTATCAAGCAAACCAAACATGAAAGATTTCATCCTCTCCCTGTATGCATACTTCTAGACTTCATTATTTATTCCGTTGGACTTGCCACACTATCTCTACATATATCTCCAAACAACATTTATGTTTGTATATCAATATAAAACTCAAACAATCATAATCACATCAATTCCCTCTTTGGCACATTTTATCAAACACTTTAGTGGCACCCATACCTAACTAAAATACTAAGATTCTTTCCTTTCAATTTTTCCTTTCCAAAACTTTTATCATCAATATTTAAACTTTCCATCCTCATTCTTCCTACACAAGCCATTTAAACTAAAGAAAATTAACTTTAATCCCTTCTACTTACAGAAATCCAACACAAATATAAATGAAATTATCTATCAACAATTTAATTCTATATACAAGTTACAGCTTAACTAAATCCCAGCTGCCGCCTCAGTCACGCACAACAATAACCAAAATAAACATTTAGATCCGCAACTGTTAATCACAAATAAAGAGAATCAAACGAGGAAAAACAAGAGGTGAAATTTATTCATCAGCAGAGCAACGAAAAAGAGAGAAAATTTAATGCTTCCCAGACACACCAAAAACTCGACGGCAGCACTTAAACCGGAAAGAAACAAAAGAGAAGCATGACAGGGGAAAATGGAAGTACCAGTGGGTCGAACAGTCTGCAATCATGAACCAGATCTGCCACGTCCAGTAGAGCAACGAAGAAGAAGAAAATCTATGCTTCTCCCAGCTACACACGTTCGGCGATGGAATTTAAACTAGGACGAAGAAGAAGAAAAGCAGCGACGTTACAGGGGAAAGTGGAGAGACCAACAGATCGAACATTTTGCACCCATAAACCAGCTTCCACAACATAAAATGACAGAACTTGCTACACGACTCCAACAGGGGAGAAGAAAGAATATTCGGTGATGGACAGCAGAGGGAAGAGCGATGTGAACAGAGGAGGAAAACTAAAGAATCCAGTAACCCAGTTCGTTGTAGCCGACGAACGAGGACAGAAAGAAGAGCGGCGGACGAGCTGACGGCGATGGGAGAGAAATGTGCGACGGGGAATAGGAGAAAGGCGGTGAAGAACAATCGCGATCCTCTTCCCTTGTGAAGTCGGCCAAATGACGGAGAACAAGAAGAGAAAATATAATCTGAAGCTTGTGGGAAAAATTACCGAAAAGGACCCCATCAGATTTTATTACTATTATAATATTTTATTTTACTTTATTTTATTATTATATATATATATATATATTTTTTTTTTTTTTTTGCAAGAGACACATGCACATTCAATAATTTCCCATAAAGATGAAACTAACATTTAATTTAAGCAAAATTTAAACTCTAGACTTTCATATAAATAACTAATATAAATTCAATCAGGCCACTACTTCTTATTTGTCATAAAACTAAAATATTAATTTGAAGGAAATTTATCTAATTTAAAATTTAAGATCATTGTACTTTTATTAGATCAATATTTCTTCTTTCGTTCTTTGTTTGTATATATATATATATATATTTTTACAAATACAATTAAAACTTATCATTATATATATTTAAAATTTTACTTAAATTCATGGGTTATTACAATATGTTACTTATTAAACACAATGAACCAACCACCTACCAAGAAGCTATAGTGGGACCAAATTCTGAGAAATGGCTAAATGCAATGAAGTCTAAAATGCAATCCATGTACAATAATAAGGTACAAACGTTAATCGATCCACCTAAAGGAATAAAAACTATCAAGTGCAAGTGGATTTTTAAGGAGAAAACTGACATGGATGGCAAAGTAAATGTCTTCAAGGCATGATTGGTTGCAAAAGGATTCACCCAAACTCATGGTGTTGACTATAATGAAACCTTTTCACCAGTCACAATGGCCAAATCAATCAGATCCTCCTTGCCATTGTAGCATATTATGAGTATGAAATATGGTAGATGGATGTTAAAATAGCATTCTTTAATGGATGTCTACTTGAGGAAGTGTACATGACACAACTTGAAGGTTTTGTGTGTCCAGAAGACTCTAGAAAGGTGTGTAAGCTTCAAAGATCCATTTATAGATTGAAGCAAGCATCTCAGAGCTAGAATTAATGTTTTGATAAAGTTATCAAAGAGTTTTGATTCATTCAAAACATTGATGAACCTTGTGTTTATAAAAGAGTTAATGGCAGCACAGTTATATTTTTAGTGCTATATGTAGATAATATACTACTCATTGGAATGACATTTCTACCTTATAGAATGTCAAGTCTTAGTTAGAAAAATCTTTCTCTATAAAGGACTTAGGTGAAGCCACCTACATCCTTGGGATTAAGATATAGAAAGATAAATCTAAAAAAAGCTAATAGGCCTAAATCAGAGCACATATGTAGATAAGATACTACATAGGTTTAGTATGTAGGATTCAAATAGGGGTTTCATCCCCATGTCTCATGGCATTCATCTCAGTAAAGACCAGTGTCCTAGTACACAAAATTAACGAGATTGCATAGTAAGGTTCTATATGCCTTGACAATTGGATCTATCATATATGCCATGTTATGTACTCGATCAGATGTTTTTTTTGCCTTAAGTATGACCAATAGATACCAAGTAGATACAGGAGAGGATCATTAGACTACTGTCAAGAATATCCTAAAGTATGTAAGAAGGATAAAGGATTTATTCTTAGTATATGGCGGATTGAAGGACGAACTAGTTGTAACAAGTTACACAGATGCAAGCTTCCTAACTGACCAGGATGACCTTAAATTGCAATTAGGATATGTGTTCACATTAAATGGTAGGGCAATAGGCTGGAAGAGCTCAAAGTAGAGCACAACAACTGATTCTGCAACAGAAGCTAAATATATAGCAGCATTAGATGCAGCTAAGGAAGCCGTTTGGATCAGGAAGTTCATTGCTGAGCTAGAAGTGGTGGCTAGCATCTCAGATTCGATAAACTTGTTCTGTAATAATAGCAGTGCAATTGAATAGAGCAAGGAGCCAAGGTCACATCAAAAGACTAAGTATATACTCAGGCATTTCCACCTTATTAAAGAGATCAATGATAGAGGTGATATAAAAATATGCAAAATAGCAGGAGAAGACAATGTTACTAATCCTCTTACAAAGCCTCTTGCACAGGTGAAGCAAGAGCTTCTTGTCAAGATAATGGGAATTAGACAAATTAATGATTGTACCTAGTGCAAGTGGGAAAGGATGTTGGAAATTGTGCCCTTGGGCCAATTATTGTTATTTAATGAATTTCTCTTTTATTATGATAACAATTGCATGTTCAGTATGATAACTGTATCCTTGGACAAATTAGATTGATTGTCCTAAATGTTCCTGGTCGGTCATCTTTGAGGGATCATAGATGAGACAAGACTAGTATGACTTTGATTAATTATAGAGATACAAATCAAAGTCATAGGCATTTGAAAGAGTACAAGGTGGTGGACTGACCCGCTATGAGAAAGCTACATAGTACAAGTCATAAGCTTATCTCATATGTAACTACATCACTAAGGCCTTTAACTTGGGATCATTATGGGTTCCTACATGATGATCACTAAACTTTGACCTAGTCAAAAGTCACCTTTGACTAGGTGATCATAAAGGACTATGATTGAGTTTAGTAATATTCATGCAAAGGAATATAAGTGGTCAAGATGGAATATAATGTTCAAGTTTATTGAATCTGGAATATGTTTAGATTCAATAAATGTAATAAGGTAAATGAATTATTTATATATATATATATATATATTTATATATTTAAATATTTATTTGATAAATATTTATATGAAATATAAAATATAAAATATAATTATATATATATATATATTCATATGTGTGTGTATATATCAGATATATATATATATATATGATATATGTATATGATATATAAAATTAAATATAGATAATATAATATATATATATATATATTTTCAAAATATATCTGTATATATATTCATATATATATATATAATATGATATGCATATGTGATATATATATATTATATTATATTATGTTATGTTATGTTATATTATGTTAGTTTTAAATTTATTTATATGATAGATTAAATTTAATGACTAACATGATATGAGAGAATATCATGTCAGTTTTATAATTTAAATTTATAAGATACATTCAAATTAGATATGATACCATAAATTAAATTTATGAGATAAATTTAATTAGATTTTTGTGAGCTTTTTAAGTGGAAGATGAAAACCCTTATCTATATAGTATATATAGATAGAGACGTCCTTTATGAAGGGAGTGAGAGTTAGAAAAGTTTTGATGGCAAAAACACTTTGAGAGCCATGAAACACCCTAAAGAATGGAAAAATAATTTTAAAAAAGAATGGATGTTAGGAGTGCTAGCACGTTGTTTGAGTTAGAGAGCTGTTCGTGTGGATACCAGTAGAGGGAGCAGATCTATGTTGTCAGCTCCTAAGATCTAAACTCTTGAAGAGAATGCGTGCCAATTTTAAAGAATTAAAAGGTGGCTCTTCTATCCAGCTTAACTTAAACAAGTTTGTTTGGTCTATATCAGGATAGAGACTTTAAAATTTTAATCTTCCACTGTGCATCCCTATCTAACACTAAGATGCATAAATGTATGTGAATATGAGAAAATGAATTGTGTTGTGACACTTGCTTGTATATATATATGGTGTTGCAATATGCTGAGGGTGCCCCAGTAGAGGGTACGTGGGTAGGCCTAAATACAAAACAAGCAAGTATATATTGTGTTGCAACTTGTTTCACTTGTGCATATATATGTGTTAATTGTGAATTGATTGTGAATTGTATGAATATGTGGGAACTTGACACAAATGTTGAGGTAGAGCCCCATTTGAAAGAGTTAAGTACATTTGTGATTCCTGATCATATGGTGACGGGGAGCCCTATACGTAAGATTCGGAGGGTTAAAAATGGAACAAGTCTAATTGTATATATGTGAATATGTGTTGTTTATGTTTTTCTCATATGAGTCCATAATTGTGTAATGTGGCATTAAGAGGCCAAAATTAGTAAATGATGTGATATATATGATATGTAGTGTTAATCAGGTGTATGTAGCACTTTTGGACTTAGTTCAAGGCCCAAAGTAGTCTAATAAGATAAGGAATGAGAATTGAGCACTTAGAGTGAAAGTTTTGAAAGAAAAAGTGACATTTTGCACCTGGGTATCCAATTTTAGATCAAATTGTTAGACAGAGTCTAAACTTGTTCTATTAGCTAGTACATGTTGTAAGCTTTGTGTGGGCGCTTGAATCACTCCAATCGGATGTCGAATATGAAAATGGCACATCTCGAAAGTTCATCATTTTTGCTGATAAATAACAACAAAAAATTTAAACTGGCGTGCCACAGCGCATGGCATCTCATGCTGTGGTGCATGACATAGAAAGTCAGGCATGTGGCACTGTACCATATGCCGCGGTGCATGTATTACACGTTGTGGTGTATTGCCCTTTTTTAAGGGTGAGAATTTTATGTCTTTTTGAGTTGTTTAACTATGTTTACACTTCCGTTAGCTCTTTTATTTGAATATATGTTTTAAAAAGTTAGGGTCTTATGATTTGAAAACAAATAAAGGGCTATTACTTTAATATTTTAATGTTCATACTTATTGAATATGTGCATGTAGATGGTAAAGCCTAGTTTGAGCTAGGAGTTTACAGTTTGGTATAAATCTTCTTCAGTTTTGATTTGTTTGTGTATTGCATCACTTTAATTGGCAATTTTTAGACATTCATTACTCTTTTCTAGCCTCTAACACCTATTTGTTGACCTTATCTACCTTTGCTCTAAAGGAAGGGAGAAAGGTTCATGGAGCTACAGTTATCCAACAGTAGCTGTGAGAGGATGTGGTAGAATTCCATGATGCACGCAAGCTTAGAATGCCTGAGATGTGCAAGATTTAGAGATGCTATCGGAACAACCTCAGGTAATAATCCCATTATGACATACATGTTGGAAGTGATGATGGACATTTAGAGAAGTCTAGCCAACTGTGATACCTTAAATTATAATAGGGATCACGAGGAGCCAAGGCCAATGCAAGAGGCTAGGATTGAG